CCATCATTACCCTCAATTTCTCACTTTCACCACCAAAGATTCACTTTTGCCTGGTAAGAAAACAAGGCCGTCATTTGTTGAGCAGTTACTCTGTGCCAGAAACTATTTCTCACATTGACTCTGTCAGGGTGGGTATTCTTTTTTTTTTTTTTTTTTTTTTTGAGACATAGCCTCAAGCTGTCCCCCTGGGTAGAGTGCCATCGCATCACAGCTCACAGAAACCTCCAACTCCTGGGCTCAAGCGAGTCTCCTGCCTTAGCCTCCCAAGTAGCTGGGACCACAGGTGCCCCCCACAAAGCTGGGCTATTTTTTGGTTGCAGCATCATTGTTGTTTGGCAGGCTGGGCTGGATTAGAACCCACCACCTTAGGTGTATATGGCTGGTGCCTTAGCCACTTGAGCCACAGGCACTGAGCCTGGGGCAGCTTTCAAGATGAGAGAAAGTCCCAGACACTTCTCCCTTTGTCATTTGCCTTGCAACTAGGATTCCGAAATGTTTTGCAAATTCAGAGCACCACAATTCCAAAATATGTGCATCAGATATTAGAGCATAAGCTGCAAAGCCATGGGAGGAGATGTTACAAGTGAGTTGAGGGAACTGGAATGACATTAACAGGTAGCTGAGTCCACTATTAGATATTGTCCTTGGTTATCACACATAGGCCTGGTGTCTCTCCAGGCCAGAAACTGTCTTTGTTCACACTCAGAAGCATTCTAGCAAGAGAAACTATTACCCCCAGGGGAGTTCACATAGGCAAAAATGTCACCATAAAGTCCTTCCTAATGAGCCACACTTATTATTTATTGGTTATGATATAAATATTATCTTTCGAAAATTACAAATGAATATGGCAATGTGATATTTCAGTTTCCCTGATGTTAATATAAATGTACTTCAATATCATGCCAAAACTATAAGATTTTTTCTGTGAATTCTCCCTGTCTTTCCCTTCTACCCCAACAGTTCTCCCTTTCAGAGAATGCCCAACTTCCTAGGAGATTCCTTGTTTCCCCAGTTAGATACAAACAAGA